TTAATTAAAAAGATTTCAATTATTGAATAATGTCTGCAATTATATAAAATAAAGTATTTATGAAATATTTATTCAGAAATTTAATAAAAATGTATAAATTATATGAAACTTATACACTTTAATATGTTTTAGATATAATCTTTGCATTTTTTTATGCTTCAATGTGCATACTTTGCTTTAGCCTTTGTTTTTGTTGATAACTGACTATCCCTTCGTTGCACGCTTCTTCGCCTTCGTCGCCTTTTGTAACAAGCTCGGTGAAGAGATTTTCCCCCGGGACATGCTTCTCCCTTGACCTCTTTGTTGTAACTCATTTTAATAACGCAACTTCAATAATTATGGTTATTATAATAACGGTATGCAGTAAACGTAGAATCAAAGCGCTCGTCATTACAACGAGAACTTTTGACAAAACTTACTCTCTTTTTAAACGAAATTTCTTTCCTTTTTTTGGAATAAAATCTCATAATATTTAAAGTAACTTATTTACAAGATATTCTGGTTTATAATTTGTAAATAATATCACGCTGTTATTTAACTATCGATATTTTATTAAGAATAAATATTTCACAATATATTCTCTTATGACATCTGAAAATGGTTCAAATCAGCAGCCGAAATATGTTATGTTACGATTGTTATGATCATGATTGTTTCAATTTTAATTTAATTACAGTCGATTTTCTATTTCTTTACTTTTTTAATTTATTATTGTGCCAACTTTATAACCGACTCTACTTGCCCTTTCTATTATTTATATTGTTATTTTAACAGCAAGAATTTTGATTAATTTATTTTTAATAAATATTTCTTAAATAGACTAAAAGAAGTAAATGCGTAAGTCATCAAATTAGAAAGAAATATATCTTTTCACGTTTTTATACATTTCTTACTTTCCATTTCAAGAATATTAATTCACATAAATTAAATTTTTTCAGAAGTTAAATAAAATTGAATATATCTATCTGCACTCAATTAAAATTGTACCATTTATTCGTATGTTAATGCTATTTCTTAAATTGATTTTTTATACAATTATTATTTACAAAAAATATTATAAAAAAAATTAATTTTATATTTATTAATTTTTTCTTATTTGCTGTCATCGTAACTTGATGAGGAATATTTTTACCGAGATTTCCTTTCTCATAGATAATCTAAGAACACGTGCGGAGAGACCCCGACGCATCCCTATCTCTATGCGTTTCCCCTTGCAACGGTGGTCATCCCTTCGTCGAATGCAGCTCTGTTTTTCCATCACCTTTTCCGGCGATGAGTCGCGACGGAAGAAGGGTCTCTTTCTCTCTCTCTCTCTCTCTCTCTCTCTCTCTCTCTCTGTCCAGGCACGCGCCTCTCGCTTCTCCGTCCTCCTCGTCTGAATCGTAAACGAGTCGTTCTCTTCCCCTCACACCCATCGTCGGCGCTCGATCCAAAGCTCCCCCCCTCCACACTGCTATCCACCCACTCACCTACCCCGACCCAGTGGCCCGCGGGCCACCCCCACCTCACCCTCGCCGCTCGCGGCACGGCGCGGCGAAGCCGCGGCCCCCGCGCGCCCGTCTCACCGTCATCGCGCTGGTTCACGCTCCGTCAGTCTGTCGGCAACCTGCGTACCAGTCGTGTCGCAGCGCTCACGTAACAAAATTCTTATTATTATTACCATCACTCTTTACTTGCCTTGAAACTTGATCGGTGGTGTGTTGATTCTCGTTTTCCGACTTCGTTGCGCGTATTTCATTTCACGACACCGTCCCAATCCCTTTAATTAACATTTTCATCGTCCAACCAGGAGGTCTCGCGCTCGTCGAAGAAAATTGCCGTTGCCGCCGCCGCATCACGTCGTCCGCGCTCGCGCATAAAACACGCCACGACCCGCGATTGTACGCGCGCATCATACGGGGCGCACCGATAAAGTGACCGAGAGACAGAAAATCATCACGAGGGAGAGAGGGAGAGAGGAGCCCAAAGACGTCAAGTACGAACCGATCGCCTGCCAACCTTATCCGATTGCCGCTGGTACCTACGAGCGTCGCTGGCATTTCGGAGTATTGCTGCGTGTCAAACATCCGGTACGTAGCAAGTCGTACTCGTACCATCAGTACGCCTCGCGCATCCTCGTTTTCGCCGTCATCATCGCCGTCGCCGTCGTCCTCTTCGTTGTCATAGAGTGCAGCCGCGTGACGCAGCAGCGCTGGAGTTCATCAGCCGGAACGTCATCAGACTCGTTTTACCCGGTGCATGGGTCATCCTTCACCGATAGATGAACATCATTCCTGCTTACAGGAAATACATCGCCAGATCGTTGCCGATCGCGTTCACCGCTGGCTGCCCTGCTCCACCTCCACACGGCGGGCACGCTGCTGCTGGTGTATCGATTGCTCTAAAATAGACGCGTGGGAACAACACCTGCAGGCCAGGCGTACACGTACACACATGCCGTTCGCAAGCGTATAAACGCGCAACAGACTATACACGTCTGTGTTTCACGCTTCGTACACGCTCATACATACGGCGCGTTCGTTCTCTCCCCCCTCCCTCCCTCTCTCTCTCTCTCTCTCTCTCTCTCGCTCGCTCGCTCGTTCATTCTCTCTCGCTCTCTCACTCTCGCTCTCGCTCTCGCTCATTACTTCTCGTCGTTACGCTGCCACGACCCTCTCGCAGCAGCAACGTGTGACAGGTGCAACGACGGCGACATCGTCGTAGGGTGGTCGGTGGTGGCGCTGGCGAAGAGCCGCAGCAGGAAACGGAAGAAGAAGTGAGTCGGGTCGGGGTTGCGAGAAAACGCGAATAAGAAGAGAAAAAAAAAGTAGAAAAGTCCAGGAAGAGAAAACAGAAGGAAGAGAGGAAGAAGAAAAGAAACCGGTTGAAGGGGCGAGAGAAGGATCAGATCAGGGAAGGAGAGGAGGCGTGGAGGAGAAAGAAGAAGGAGAGGAAGAGGAGGAGGAGGAGGAGGAAGAGGAGGAGGAGGAGGCGGCCGCGGCCCCCGTGTTTCTTGCGAAGGGAAGGTTATTTTCCAGTGATACGTCCTGGAGGCGCCCGTCGTCTTCGCCGGTACAACCATAACGCCGCCCGCTTTAAAACGACCGAGACGGGACACGGTGGATTCATCGCCGCCACCCGCTCGTACCGCAGCCCCCGGCAATCCCGGACCGTCCGGCAAACTCGCCTGCATCATGGACGCGCCGCTATCGCAGAGCATGGACTCCGTTAACACGGTGGCCACCGGCGAAGACGAGGTAGGTGTTCTCTATAATACGAGATTTGCTGTTTGAGGCGCCGCGACGTCGCGACGGCGGCGCCGCGCAGCGTTGGTTTGTACCGTGTACGAATGGCCGAAGGGGTGAAATCCACCCCTTCTGACGCACTCCCTCTGTCTCTCTTTCCCTTCCCGTCCTTCACCGTAACTCTGAACTGACTTCATGCCAGTTTTTCACGAGATTATCGATATATTTTTCTTCTTCCAAAACCTACCCCTTTCTTTCTGTTCGTTTCATCAAAGGGAATACTTGGATATCAGATATCGTCTCTTTTTCTTTTCTTTCATCGAGAGGTTATATTGGTCTCTCCCCTCATTACCCTTTCTCCTTCTTCCATCCTTTCTCCCTCGCACTTCTGTATTATCGCCATATTGGTTGGTTCTCCATCCCCCTTGTTCGCGTTTGTATATACACGTTTGTCTCTCTTACTCGTTCCAAGTTCCAACCCTCGCGCGTCATAGCGCGCGCAAGCGCGTAGTGAAGTATTCGCGCAGGCTGCTGACACGCGCGTACCTCCGCCGCGTGTAGAATGCCGTTCATTAATGATGCACTCGATGCAAGCTCGATACATCATGCATGCTCGAAATGGTCCAACGCTAGGCATAGCAAATGTAATAATTAAATAGAGACTAGAAATGCATTCCGTTTATAAATAAATTACAATTATTAAGGTAAATAGTAATTCACAAAAAACGAATACAGATACACGTTAAAATATTCTTCTTGATAATACGGTTTTAATCATATTCCATGACGTATTTATGAATTGATTAGTCGAGTTTTTGCTCAAGTGATAAAAAATGATTATTGACGCATAGAAAATTATTAGAAATGGCACTTCTCTATTTGCATTACGGTATTCTCAGTAATGATTCATTATGTTATTACAGCGGAGCTAACAGATATCCTCAGATGAGTAATTAATAGAGGTATTTAGGAATTAATTGGAATTAATGTATATCGAGAGGCAAAATGCAAAATCGATTACGAAACAGAGACATGCGAGGTTAGCAATTATATGTAATTGTACTATCCATTATGTTCGCGCGGTATATAACGCGCATTCATCAGGATCCTTTGTTCTTCGTGATCAACCGTAACTATATAATCTTGCACAATTTTTCGCGATTGCTAACGTATTCTTTGTAGAGCTGGCAGCTGGTATGACGCAATTGTTCGAAGTTGAAACAGTTGTACGACACAACTGTTCATAGAGTAGAAACAAATCGTATCTTCAATTTATGATGTCGTATGGATTTCAAATCGAAAATTCTGTAGGAAAGTATTATGTTACTTACAGTGTGAAAACTTTGTTTTTACATACACAACTTTAATTTTCAAACCACTTCAACAAAGTTTCTGTGCTGTATCATTGTATGTATTGCGCACTTGATTGCAATGATATACGTCAAGAATATTCAAGAATGTCGTAAAACTTTTCAAGAAAAAATACAAATGTAGAAATAGCGGAATTTCGCGAAGAAGCGTAGATGTGTGTACATTAAATTTTTACGCGTTGTGTTCGTTGAAATGTTTGGTCTTTTAATGTTTCATAGCATACGCTATCAAATGCTTTCAAAGTAAATTTGAAATTTTTTACGTCCAGCAAGATTTTTTTACATACACATACATAACAAATTATTGCACTAAAGTGAGCACATATCAAAATATTTTGTAACATTGATTATGTATCTTTGTCAACACGTATCTACATATCTAACAATTAAATTTATAAAATAAATAAGTAAAGTAGCGAAACAATTAAAAATATTAATAAATTATAATTTAAAGAAATGGAAAATTGAAAGTAAATTTTGAAAATCATTTTATTACATGTATATATATATATATGTATATATAAAAAAAACATATATATGTATATATTATTACATTAAATATTACTTCTAATAATTTATCAAATAATTTATCTAATGAATTATTGATCTAATTTAACTAAAATTATTTAATTGGATAAAAACTCTGCAGCTTTGAAAGAATTTTAGGCGAGTTATAAATTTATTGGGTAAACTCTTATTATTTCGAAGGAATACAGTCCTAGTGGCACTTCGATAAATGATAATACCGCGCAAAGCTGTCATTGCGCAGCATCGTATATACATGCATAATTATATACATATACATATAAATATAAACACATACATGCACATGCACATACGCGTCTCGTGGTATGGAAGGCGGGAATTCGATCGCGTGCTTGCCACGACGGAGTGTATGCCTCGCAGGTGACTCGTTTTCACCGGTGCGCTCGATCGGACGGTTGCTTGCTCGCTTGTTCGCTTGCTCGCTCGCCTGCACGCCCGCCTGCCCTCTCGTCTGCCATGCTGGCTTCCTTCCTCGTACAGGCACAGGCACAGGCACAGGCATGAGCACAGGCATAGGCAGACGGCCACCTGAAAGAGTGACGCCGCCACGCCGCACCACACTACGTTCACTATTGATTTTTCCGCGACTGTGCGAGAGGGCCACCAAGGAGGGCCCGCCAGCACGCTTCGCGCTATGTCACATCATGCGGGAGGTGGATTACGCCTCGTGACTGTAACGTGGGTGCCAAAGATGTATGTGTGTACGTGCGTATACACGCGTACGTTGTATATACGTGGGCAGCATACATATACGGGTAAATGATTTGACTTAGGTCGCAGAACATACCGGGTGGCGACCCCAATGAAGCGTAACCAGCGAACCTGCCGTCCGTTTTTTACTTCCAAGGGTCAATCGATTTACAATGTTTACGATGGAGCAGATGCTCATAGGCAATCACATTTTGCACTGTCAAGTTTTGGTAAAAATGCTATTTTTTTCAAGAGGAAAAGTTAAATTTATGTAGCTCAAGGAATGTGTAAATTAACCGTGTTGTGTGTGAAATAAATTTCCACTTGTTATACCTTTCTACTCATTAATTTTATTACTTCATTTAAGTCCATTTTAACTATTTATGTTGTAGTTATTTATACAAATAGCGTCTTATTTGTTCTAAAGATATATACTTATAACAAGCTTAATGCGAGAGCTTTTATTGTTCTATTTATGGAAGGAGAAATTATTTTCTTTATAATTATATAAAATATATATAATTATATATAGAAGTATAGAGCTGTCTTTTACTTATTTAATCCTTTGATTCTAATTTAGAATTAATTTTTCCTCTTATTACAAAAATATTATAGGAAATATTTCCCACAAATTTTTAATTTGCATCATTAAATATTTCTATAACTTGATTCTTGGAAAGTATTTTTGATCGTTTCTATTTCATGATTTCTTTTATTAGAGAAAAATCGATTAAATATATATAAATCTGAAATTTTTTAAATTAATTTAAATTTATTTGTAAATGTAATTATATATCTTACAAATTGAAAATTTATTGTAAAATTAACAAATTATGAGAAGTTATTATTGTATTGTAATCTTTCTGAAATTGTTAAAATCATACCATTGATTTTCGGGTTTATTTCAAAACGACGGAATTCAGATAGAAAAATGATAAGCGAATATTTATTCGAACCTTTGTTTTGTCGCGGAAAATTTCACATTTCAGTCGGTCTTTCATTTGACGATGCGTTCGCTGTGCGAGTTCGTGATTATAACGAGGAAATGCTTTCATGCTTTTCCTCGTTAATCGAGAAAATTAAATTCACGAACAGGTTATGGCTTTTAATACGAGCGTCGATGTCCTACGAGAGTTGACGTCTACAATAACGCGATATTAACTTCCAAACAGAATTGTAGCTTGAGTACGTATAGCATAACAATCACTTTAATCAGTTTTGATAGTAATAACATTATTTAGAACATTACAATTTTGCAAGTTAGTGAAAATATATGTTATTAGTTTCAAATAAAGATAGCTAATAAAATTAATTTTATTTTTATTGTTTTTAATTCGATAAAGTTGTATTCGTTTTACGTAATATAATAATTTTTATCATAAGGCATAATAAGAAGGTTTCTAAAAAGAAATATTTTTTCTTCATATATTAATATTAATTGATCGTTTAGTATTTCAATCTAAATTATTCTAAATACAGTCTCAATAAATTTTCGAAAGAATTTTCGAAAGAGTTCATAAAAATTCAATTATATAACATATGTTAATATGTTACAAATATAAATGCAATATCTACATATATGTTTACCGTGTATGTCTTCATTATATCAATATCGAAATCGATAGATTTCGATTTCACTGAAATTTTGGTGTACGTGTGTGATTACAACTCAGTGCGTAATTATCAAGATTCACGCATAAACGCCACCTCGCCAACGAGAAGCAAAAGAGCAGCGGCGCGTAAAAAAATTCACAAAGATATTTCAAATTCGTTAAGCAAACGAACGATTGCGCTCGGGTATACATATGTACAATAACATTATCCTGTTAGAGGCGAATAGTGGAGTCTGTATTATGCGTTAATCTTCATCGATGTGTGCAGGTGCATGCATAAAGAGAACCGGCTGGCTAAACCGCCCCTCGCTTTCTTTCGTTCTCGTTTCCGTCCTTCTTCCTGTCTGTTTCGTGCGGAAAGCAAACGGGGTATTGGGCTTTGAATCCTCAAAGCTGCACGCTAATGCATTCGGATGGACCGAAATCTCGGTTGGGAACGAAAGCGGAATAAATGCACGCGGTTATATGAAGAAATCGTTGGAATTGTAATATACAGGTGGAAAGGGAAAGAGAAGCGTGATAAGTATGATGTGAACGAGAGTTGAAAGTTTATAGGAGAATTATTCTTATTTTTTGCGGCTTATCATTGCTCTAGTTATTATATAGTATACTGACATAATTAATTAAAGAACACTTTCACTGCATAAATGATTTTGCCTTCATAAACTTATAAAATGGATATTTTATATCGATTTATTTGGATTATGTAATATATTAGGTAATGTATAATTTTGTACTCTTTTAATTTTGAGATTTGAAGAGAGATTTAATTTTATCTGTTTTTGTGGCATTA